GTCTGGGCCATGGAGTGAGACTCCAACTCAAAAAAAAAAAAAAAGAAAGATGCTTTTTCTCCTTGTGTCACACCTACTGACTCATATCAGCAAAACTTATTTACTAGGACTGGGAGATAATCTCTCTCCCTGCAGATGGTCCGTGCTCCATTCACATTCCCTAGGATCAGTCTTTCCAGAAGCTTTTATCGATGCCTTGGTCATTCTCCAGCTAGAGACAGGTGCCAAAGAGAATCAAATGCCAGTTGCCCGAGACAGTGATGGACATGTCTGATCTTTCCCACATGGTCACAGAGAGTATCTGAAGTGTAACCTGCAGCACACAAACCTTTTTAAAAATGAAGAAATATTTAGATGTTTATTTAAAAGAGGGCATGGTTGGAAGAATGATGTGTGAAGAAAGAGGTAATTTAGTTATGTATTTGTCAGGGTTTTTCAGAAAAACAGAACAAATAAGAGATATTTACATCTCTATATCTAGCTAGTTAGCTAGTCATTGAGATAATTTTTTTTTTTTAATTGAGATCTCCCTCTGTAGCCCAGGCTAGAGTACAGTGGCATGATCTCTGCTCACCACGGCCTCAACCTCCTGGGCTTAGAACAGCCCTTTTCTGCCTCAGCCTCCCATGTAGCTGGGATGACAGGCATTCATTGACACACCCAGTTTTTTGTTGGTTTTTTTTTTGAGTTGGGGTCTCACTCTGTCGCTCAGACTGGAGTGCAATGGCCGCTCCCGGCCACCGCAGCCTCGACCTGCTGGGCTCCGCGATCCTTCCGCCTCAGCCTTCTGAGTAGCCGGAATTACAGGTATGCGCTACCACGCTCGGCTCATTTTTGATTTATTGTAGAGATGAGGTCTCGCTGCCCAGGCGGGTATCGAACCCGCAGTCTCAGGCAATCCACTCACCTCAGCCTCCCAAAGGCGCGGGATTACAGTCTGAGCCACCGAGCCCGGCTTGTTTTTTTTTTTTTAATTTTTGTAGAGACAAGATCTCACTATGTTGCCCAGGTTAGTCTCAAACTCCTGGGCTCAAGCAATCCTCCAGTGGTGGCCTCCCAAAGTGCTGGGATTACAGGCGTCAGCCACTGCGCCCAGTCCAGTGATATCATTTTAAGGAATTGGCTCCTGCGATTAGGAAAGCTGGAAAGTCTGAAATCTGTAGGGCAGTCCCACAGCCTGGAAACTCAGGCAAAAGTCAGAATTGCAATCTTGAGTGAGGGCAGCCTGGAAACTCAGGCAGGTTTCTTGAGGAGAATTTCTTCCAAAAACTTCAGCCTTTGCTATTAAGACCTTCAACTGATTGGACAAGGCCCACTCATATTATGGAAGATAATTTTTGTTACTCAAAGTCTGCTGACTTCAATGTTAATCACATCTAAAAAATACCTTGACAGCAATATCTAAACTGGTGTTTGACCAGATAACTGGGCACCATAGCTTTGCCAAGCTGCCCCATAACATTAATCAGGTTACATTCAGAAACCTGGTCTACGTGCTAAGTAAGTATTAAGTGGTTAAAGTTTCTAAACTCACCATCTGAATTACATAAAAAGGTGACAATCAAGCCAGGTTCGGTGGCTTAGCCTGTAATCCCACGCCTTTGGGAGGCTGAGGTGAGTGGATTGCCTGAGCCTGCGGGTTTGAGACCCGCCTGGGCAACTTGGCAAGACCTCATCTCTACAATAAATAAAAAATTAGCCGGGCGTGGTAGTGCGCGCCTGTAGTTCCAGCTACTCGGAAGGCTGAGGCGGAAGGATCGCCGGAGCCCAGCAGGCCGAGGCCGCGGTGGCCGGGAGCGGCCACTGCACTCCAGTCTGGGCGACAGAGTGAGACTCCAAATCAAAAAAAAAAAAAAAAAAAAGGTGACAATCAATACACAAATAATATTGGCTTTCCATAGATGTGGGCTAGGAAATAGCTGTGCAAGGAGATAAGAGGAAATAATCTCCAAGAGGACCGGGAAATTGATGCTTGTTTAGTCTTTTGGAAATACTTGCAGCCATGGGGGATGGAGCGTGGGGGCTGAGGGGGATGGGAGGAGAAGAGAGAGGGAGTTACTGTCACCTGTAGTTTGGAAACAGAGTGTTTAGAAGTAACCTGGCCCTCATATCTGGGGAGCTCTATCTTGTTTCCTAGCTCTGTGAAGTGAGGTATTCTGTACGAACTAAAGTAAACACGACCTTCAAACGCAATGTATTTTGTATTCCACACAGTCTGCTTTTATAGTGATTTATAAGCATCTTTTTCTTTTTAAATTAGTAGTTTTTCATCTTTTTTTCTCTCTGATAATACTATGAAAAAGAACTTAACTTTCCACCCGTGAGTGACGCTGTTAGAACTTCTTGTTTTTTCGTGTGACCTCTGAAGTCAGGGTTTTTCTGTCTATGACTTATGTTTGGGGAGTTAGTACTCTGGGTCTTCTACTCACGTGAATGTTGAACATGAGAAACAGATGAAACACATAATCCATAGACTCTTAGCCTCAGTGCTGGGTGGTAGGAGCTCAGAAGAGAAACAGGCCGTTTGAGTCATGCCCCTGTATCCCAGCTCCAAACATTTGCCCTTTCTCAGAGCTAAGTTGGCATTCCGTCAATGCCAGCTCTCCCTCTCCTAGTCACTGTTTTTCGGCTTTATCCTGTACTAAACCTGGAAGATCAAGCTCGGCACTGACTCTGTTACTATATTTTTGTTATTATATTTGTTAGATCCTTTTGGTGTGTTGGGTTTGGTGAGTCGGTGGTGATCGGGGAAACAGTCGTGCAAGGAGATAAGAGGAAATAATCTCCAAGAGGACTGGGGAAATTGACAATGCTTGTCTAGTCTTTTGGAAGTACTTGCAGCCATGGGGGATGGAGCGTGGGGACTGAGGGAGAGGGGAAGAAGCCCCCTTGTAAACTGTGTTTTTTCCCCTCTGTTCTCACACCACCATAGCAGTTGTCAACACAGAAGAAGACTTCTGTGACTAAATATGTGGGGAAAAGCCCCCACACACCAAGCAGCAGACACCAGCTAGATATCCTCTAATTCAATTCTGACACTATCTACCTGTAGTCGGATCCCACAAGATTGCCCCCTGCTTATCCCTCCATTCAGACACCAGTCACAAGTCCCAGTCTCCAGAACTTCTGACTGACCAGCTTCAAGTTGGAGTTCCCATGACCCCCTCTTTGGGTTTAATTGTTTTACTGGAGCAGCTCCCAGAACTCAGGACACTTAAGTTTACTGGTTTCTTTCTTTCTTTCTTTCTTTCTTTCTTTCTTTCTTTCTTTCTTTCTTTCTTT